CTGCCGAAGAGAATGTATTTCAGCGTGGTGCATAAGTGCTGCTTTGAAACTCTTAAGTAAATCGATCCGATCGATTTATTTAAGAGCTTCAAAGCAGAGCGAATTTTGGCGATTCTCGCAAGCGGCATCGATTGGGAAATCCCGTCTAACAAAACTGCGTACACGAGCTGACGGGCATTTTATTATCATAAGTATACAGAAAGTGAACAGACTGGTAAGACGACTGAGACGAGCAGTTTTAGCAAAGGACGCGGGAAAGATTGAAACTGTCTGCTTTTCGTCGTCGCGTCGAATTCGCGTGAAATATTAAGTACAACAAAATAGTAATTCTCAAGTATAATTTTCATCATTACGCCGTGATATTAACAACAATAAGCGATGTCCTTGGATTTTTAATACGCGGTTACAATATCCGCGACGAGGCTTTCGCCGTCGATTACGCACAATGGAATGAATTACGGCTGGTGATCCTATCCAGCGCCAGCCTCACGGAATCGATGGATTTATACACGAGCGCTTTGCGCGGCGCGGGCGACGCCACTCCCGCGTCGATTCGCACGGAGGAATCGGCCTCTGTGTGTAATCAAAGCGCAGCCTCGATGACTCGGTCACGTGCGCCACGCTTACCGATATAAATCCCGGATGAAACGCCGGCGCTTCGATCCAACGCGTCCGCTTTCGTGGATGGGGCAGACGATTTTGAATGAAGTTCTGATAAACACAAAAAATTCCGCCCGGGGTAATAGCCCCGTCCGCTGTTAGCGATTCGCAGGTCCCTGCCTTTAATCGAGAGAAAAAAAAATACGAGCTGCCGATTCCTCGTACGTCACGTAGTCAGGTCAAGGTAGTGCATTTGTAAGACGAGAAACGTGACCTCGCGGATTTAATGAAACGAATGAAAGATATGAAAGGAGACGTACATAAGAAGTAAAAATGAATGTGTCGATTTGAGAGAAAATTCGAGTTATTTCTCGATCAAAGTAGAAAAATTCTTAATTATAATTACATTATTTGTTTGAAATAGAATGACTTACATGTTGAAAACGTAATCATTTTTTTTTAGAATAGCAAAAAATCTAATAAAAGTAAAACTAATTCAAATATGTAAATGGCTCCAGGAGTACAAGAATAATATGTATTTTTTCCACAAAAGATTGAATTGTTCCTTCACATAGCGTAGTAGCGTTCAATAATTTTTTATTGGAAAATTCCTATTAATTTTCTCCGATCAAAAAATTCAATTTAGATAACAATTCCAAAGTTCTGTCAAAACTTATTTTTCTTCAAATGTATAACGGCATTTTCAACTGCAATATATTTTTATCATATATATGTGACAGCGCGCGGAAACGTGACTAAGCGATGTAATATACTTTGTAAAGGTGAACTGCACACGAGTCTCATTAAAATCGAATGTTAAAGGAAAACTGAAAATATGTTACAGAAACTCCGTATTAATATTATTTTTCAAAAATATAGTATAATTGTAAGTAAATGGTTAGTTAGTATGTAGTTAAAATTAGTTACGGGTGACATAGTACAAACGCACTATCACGTTTGGAATATTGTCGTTTGAAGTTAAAATTGATGAGGCTAATGAAAATATTGCTATAAATAAGTTAAGCGAGTCAAGGACTCTATTATTTCCTAGAATTGAAGTTTCCACCTTACAATCTCACGTGCATGACATTTTGCTAAAACTAATAATTCAAAATACCTAGTTTTCCGATAGTCTTTCTTGCGAATTACTAAATAAATATAACACAAACTTTCAACGTGAAAACACGGATAAAATAATAAAGTTATGAAGTTACAGATATAGAGTTCAATAAATGAAGCAACGCCGTAGCTCAATTTTTTCAGCAAGAGTTGAAAGCGACAGCATGATGAATTGACACAATTTCCAGTCATGAAAGCAATTCAAATGTCGCATATCGGAAAACAAAGAAAAAAAGCTCGATAAAAAAACAATTTTTAAAAATCGTTCCATTCTATTATTACTTGTTAATTAGTATGTCAAAGTTTCTATCAAAAGCGTTTTAGCTTGATGTATATTAAAAGTTGTTTTCCCTCGTTAAAATAATGACACATAATTGGCGATTGACGCGAAAGATGTCTTGTCTTCTTTAGCACTTAAATTTAACATTTATCTTTTCGAAAGAGTACCTTATTTCAATCCGGAATAAGAAATTGTAAAAAACTGCAGGCTTTCTCCCCGTCTCACTTCGGTAAGGATTGCCTTAATTTATCAGCGTCGGGAACTCTCCTTTCCGTGGAACTGATATACATGTCATCTTGCTTTCAGAGCACATTTACGTGAACGTCACTTCGACAAACAAGGAACATCGGGATTCTTTTGTGACTCATATATGTCCGGAACAAATGGATGACGTTTCTTTTGTTAACGAGAAGAAAGTTTCGAGTTGACGTAACGTCAAGCATTTGTGCACGTTAGTTTTGGACGTATGGACGTAATAGTCGGGATCATATGACAACTGAAAATGGCATGCACTTCCCCCGGTCGCCGTACCGCTTGCGTTCATGCAAATGAATAATTCATAAGATGAGAATAAACATGAGATATTTGGGTCGCGGTGCAGGAGAAGAAAGACCGCGATAATGAGCGAAACACCGAAAGGAGAAGATGCGCTTTGTTATATTTCACATTTCCCCACGTATATAAAAAGCGAGTTTATAATTATATTTAAAAAATTTGCTAAAGAATACGCCTTCATACGAGCGACTTTAATAAATTGCCTGAAAAAGTAACAGTGAAAAAAAAATGCTTGAAAATTGACCCACAAAAATGATAGAAACAATGAAACAGAAAGGACAATTATTTTCCGCAAATACATAAAAAAATTACGCAATTATTTCATAATATATTACTTCGTTAAAGATGATACGTTCATCATAAATATTAGAAATATTTATTTACGATAAATATTTTTAGTTTGATTTTTGATTCTAACGTTTATGCACGTGGGTAACTCAAGTAGTTTCTAATGAGTTTAAAGAGCCTGCGAAACTCGCTACGAATATTGACATTTTATTGCGGAAGTAGCGGAAAACTACAAGGAGCGAACACAGAAAATTCGCTAATTTCACGACGGCGATTGAAGAACCGCGAGAAAGTTCAAAGGAAAATCTTTAATAACTTTCCCATCGTTGAAAATAATGATGACTTTGCGGAAAAAGGAGATTTTTACTTATGTCAGCTCTTTCAATTACACACATTGCCAAATCGATATTACCTTCGTGTTTGTAAGGATACAAACAGTAAGGAAACTTTTTTTGCGGGTAAACCGTCTTAGAAATTTATATTTTACAACAAACAGGTTAAAGTGTTTACGCTCTTTACGTTTTGACCTTTCAAATTTTTTTTTATTTTCATTTTAATTTTCTGATAAATATTCTGAAAGGAATTCAGGTTAATTGAACACCTACACAAAGAATACGGGGGAGGGGATACACGTGGCGTTTGGGTCAATCAAAGGGTAAAAACAACGTTAAAAAAAAATTATCGATTTAATGCTGATGAAACAGAGCAAAATCGCGCGATCAAAAGTGCAAGAGGCAAACGACACTTTTGCTAAACCGAGATTTGCATTACGGAAAATTGCGACGTCATATTTACTTAAAATTTTAATAACCCACATTTTTATCTATATATGTATAGCATCAAAGAAGTTTAATTACGCGTTGGATCTTGGCTAAAAGCTAAAGTTCAGCAAGAAGTTTCAAAAAGATCCTCCTCCGAAAGAGTGTTCGCACGGAATAGCTAAGAGCAACATTCTTCACGCTTTCATCGCTGAATCCTTGCGCGCGACGTAAAGGAATAAGAATCCATCCTGAAATACGTCAAACCTCGCGATAAATATTCCAAGCGCATAAAAGAATATTCATATTCACGCGAGGACGACTCCCCCAGTCGGCGTGAGATAAATGAGAAAAGTTTCGCGCCAAGTCCCTGCGAAATTTCATTTTATCGGGAAATTTTTCGTGGCCTTGAAAGCCGTCTCAATAAAACGCGGGCTTGAAATAAAGGACAATGGAAGAGCTCCCCCCCTTTCCTCTCTTTGCTAATTTTCACGGTTAGATTTCCAATTTCTCTCTCGCATACCGTGTTGTACAATTATACGCAATTTAGGTAATATGAAATCGCGCGATTTCTCCTTGCTGTCACTTGTAGCTCAAGGGGGAAATAAATTGGTCGCGCTCGCGACTCAAATGATTCCGTTTTCGCGCCGGCTGCACCAACGCGGTCGTGGAAATTGGAAATTCTCGCGACCGGAACGCAAACGATTAATGATCAGCGCGGAAATTGTATGGCTAGGATGTCGAGCGCAGTCAGACGGGTGAAGAGACGATTGTTTCTGTCCGCGTGTGATAAGTGCCTATTATTTGCCAGCAAATAAATACGGCCGCGTTTAATGCGAAAGCATTAAATTCTTTGTTATCGCTGAATCGCGAATTTGTACTTACAATTAGCTAATATTTGAATTTCGAATTCAAATTCTCCCGAGGAATACACGAGATAATCTGTTTATAATCCAACAATAAGTAAACGTTTGGCTTCGTACTTGGCAACATTTTGCACGACTGTGCGCAAACAGAACAAAATCTCATTCTAATTAGCATTGTCATTCAAATAATTTCAAGCAGGAAAAAGTAAAGCTCTTCCAATTTCTGGCTTCGTATCAAATATATAAGTTTCCTGGTAACTGTCTTTCAGAAGAAAATTTGTTTAAGAATACAGAGAATTTATTCAAAGAATACTGCGACCTTTCCAATGGGATCACATTCGCATGACTTCTGCTTAAAATCATTTGAATAACGCATTCCTAAAGCCTGACGGATTTCTCGCGAGACATCTTGTATATGGGCGACTATAACGCGAGACAGAACCTCTTTGAGATTTGTAAGATATACGAGAAATCGAGCGTTGAGAGAACGCGTTGCGAAAGAGTGAAGAGAAATATAAACGGATAAGGTCGTACCTTCAGGGATGCCATGTCCGATACGGATCGATGAGTCTGAATGGTCTCCAACTGGTCTAAGCACCAGTCTAGTTCCTCTATCGTTTCTACAGCCAGCTTCATGAAGGGCTCCTCTGAAAAATCCAAAGAAATAAAATTAATCAAAGTGTTCGCATTCACCTTCTGTCTTTCTCTTCCTAACGAGCGATAAGTCAGCGTTAAAAAATTCTATCTATATAAAAGGCTTCGATTCGAATTCAATTGAGATTTAAAAAACGCTCCGGAATCTTTGATCTATTTTCGTATATTTGAAAGTTTCGTGCAATTCCTCAAAAATGCATGAGATACATGAGATATTTTAAACGCTTCAGAGAATGCAGAGAAGAATAAATATCACTTCCAAAAATAAACAATATTCTAGAAGTAAAAAGGAAATATGAGAAGGAGATAACTGGGAACACACATTCGGCAGTCATAATAATGAATGTATTTTTTAAGGGGAGGCCGATGGAATTGGTTAAGAGCCTTACAATTTCTTTTAATAAACCACACATGGAACGAACAGACGTAATAATTAATGTGACCCAGAAATAGGAAATATAAAATTCTAACTAGAAAAAAAGGTTAATATAAGCTTCTAAAATTAAGAGAAAACGAGAAATTACGACGAAGTTGTTACAATATTAATCAAGAGACAAAATAAAATGTTCTATATTCCTTCTAGGAAAAATTAAAGGGTCAAAGTTTCGGTTCTACTGATAAACAATTGAGAGACGTTATATAAAATAGTGTAATCAACATCATTTAATAAATAAAGGTAAATATATAAGAAGCCGTTAATAACAGTAATAAAAATTGTCAGAATCATTATTCAATTGTTAATACAATGATGATCATTAAATCCCATTAAAAAAGGACTAACGAAATTAATGATACATAAAAAAAGTAATTAATTATTTTGCATTTCAGTGTATTAAACCAAATTAAACGAAGATTAAAGTGCTAAAGATTTGAATGCAGTGCTAACGTTCTGTGCGGATATGCAATTAAGAGATTCATCTGGGAATAATGGAAGACGCGAAGCGAATTGCAACGTCTATTGTATTATTCATTTACCTCCTGGCGCCAAAATCCGTGGCTGAGGCGTACTACTGCCCTGTTGGCCGCTACTCCTTCGTGATCTGCGAAAATAAAAAGAGAGGTAAGTGAATCAGAACTTAAGCCAACCTCGTAATGTAATAATGTCAAGCAAATATGTTAATCCACTTACTTGTTCGTCGGTACATTCGTGAGCGACAAGAAATTATTCCTGACCGAGCGCAGAGAAGCAAGAATCTGTGCGAAGGGTGTAACGATGAGGTCCTCGCCATGGCTGTAATCGAAAGAAAAGGCACAGTTCATCAACGATGTCTCGTTTGTCTCGCTCGTGTGTTAGGAGGGTCGGATTTTAACGGCCTTGCTACGAATTATTTGCTAGAAAAGTCAGCGATCTACTTCGCTCTGCGGTAAGTCGCATGCAGGCAGTGATACAACGCTACATAAACGTGAGAGAGATTCTCATTCTGTTTTTTCACGCTCATATACACACGTATACATACATTAAATATGTACACAGGACACAGACACGTGCATACATTTCGTCAGAGACGCGTAAAAAAATAATCGTCGGATCGCGGATTGAAGAAAGAAAAAAAAAGAGAGAGAGGTTAGAGCGCGCTCCGCGAAGCGCGCGATTTCATGCGAAAAGCTCTAATTTAATAAATCCGCGTACTTTTCACGATGAATATACGCCGCTTCGCGAGAATAGGATTGCGCCGATAGGATTGGCTTATGGCGCTCAAATAAACTGTGTCTTTTCGGTACCTCTGAGATAAAGGCAAGCCAATACGCTGAAATATATCTCTATTTGTTGAGAGACATTGCGGGGCTTCTCGCGCGCGCGTTCGCAAGCTCGATATCGTAAACGGATTCCGAGTCGCCGCGATAGTATGCAAAACAAACATCCGATCGGCGAAGTGACGAAAGATTACGTTGAAAACGTAACTCCGAAGTTCGTTCGAAGAGGCCGCGGATATTCCTTACTCTCCGCGCTACCAATTCCACTTGATATCATTCGTGCGATCGTACGTACGACCAGCCTCTTGTTTATTACGCTTACGCAGGCGAATATCCCAGCTTTAGTCAAATTGGATGCCGCAACGCGGGTATAACCATGTGTCACGCGCCCGACTTATCGCGCGCATCGAATTTTGGTCTCCCTTCTTCGTTCTCGCGAGAGCGTATATATTCGAAGCATATCTCCGGACCACTTCCCTCCGCTCGCTCGCCATTTGTTCCGTAGATTAAGCTCCGTGTTTTCCGATTCCTACGCATATCTAACGATCTGCACGCTCGTTACCTCACACGCCCCATTTTTTTCTCTTGTCCATCCCCATAACGTAGCCTGATAGCACGCACGTGTGCGTTAATATATAATACAGTCGTTTAATATATTCCGGATAAAGGGAGACATAAAGTGTATCGCGCGCGATTACTTATTTTACACTATTATTACCGGCGGATACTTCGCGGTTATACGGGTGGGTAAACGTGCATGCATAATAAGCGAGATTACAGAGGATTTTGCATCAGACGGGTCTTAAGCCCACATCCTCCTGCGTGTAGACGGATAATTAACAATATCTGCCGGTGCGACAACAGACAAATATCTGCAATGTTCCGCATATGCATAGCCCATATGTCCTAATATATCCCATGTGAAACAACGCAAATATATAAGCTTGACAGATTGTATCTTCTTTCGATCCCTTATCGATAAAAACGACGCAAATCGGTAGGGAGGGCTTTAAAAGTGCCCAAGTCTGCAGCACACTTCATCTGTTACAATTAATTCCAGTTTTCGCTGAAAAGCGCCCCTCGAAAAACCGTTGTATATCTGTCATAATCGATCATCACTTGTAAAAAGAGCCAAGAGCGATGTATCGCGCCCAGATTCAGTTCTGCGCACTTCTTTCTCGTTTCCCCGCAACGACGTACTGGGAGCGTATATATCGCGCCCCAGTTAAAGGAAATATACTCCTCCCGACAAAATTGTGCATAACGTACGCCGGGAGAAATTCGTGTGCGGCGTAATCAGCAATCATTATTCATCCCCCTGCTTTTCTCCCATCTCCCGCGAGAGAAAATTACGTTTCTCCCTCCCCCGGGAACAATATCATGGGAGCTGAATAATTTTGGCAGTTACCCGTTCCACCTTCCAGCGCGGGATTACCGCGAACGACTTTTAATGCAACGAGAGAGAATCTTCGAGATAGAATAGCGCAAATACCCGTCATCAAATAATTACTAAATCAACCGTGCTTGTTCGATATTAGAAATAACGAGTAAATTGTACCGCTGAAATGTAAAGAAATAACGAATAATGCGAATAACATCTTAACATTAGATATATACTGTTATCTCGGAAATCTGCATTTAATTTGTTTACGTTATAATAAAATAATTATATAAACATGGATATTGCAATATATCGCCTTTTAGAACTTTATTATTATTATCGCATACTGACAGTTTGCCGAAATATCGCGCGTGTATGTGTACGCAATTAACATAATATAATTATCATCAACGTGTAATTACAATAAATTCATACTTCAATACCTCCGGATAGCAATATCTCAATTTATTTAAGTTATAATTGGATAATCTGTATAAAAGTTGATATTGAGATACTTCTTGTGCTTTATTAATATGCATTCCCGCGAATAAGTCAAGAGATTCGGTGTATATACACGCCGGTATCAAAAGGTCATTAAATCAATTATGACATAATTACAATAAATTTGTCTCAAGTTACTTCTCGACATAATACTTGAATAAAGTGGATATTCTAAAGTGGGTATAATTTTCTGCTGCTCGGATATATGTTCGTTGCAACGTGCACGGATAAGGATCTTGATCTAAAATTAAATGCCGTGAGTAGCAGTCATGAGGATCACGCGATACGTAAAAGTTCATTACTTAATACAAACAATAATTAGCGACATACGTTCCGCTGTCGTGAGGATAACATTAATACGCTGATTAAGTTGAGATATGCACAATTCTGGAGTGCGCTAAAGGATCGCGGAGTAATCCTAATTAATTGCGTACATCAAACGAGATACGCAGTAACAGATAGTCAAAGGAAGTGAGAATAAATGGTGTGCCAGGAGAGATGCGCCAACAAATGCGTATGCTTAAATTAATGAAATTAAGACGCACAATGTACGCGGGTTAATTTATATTTATTCTCGTCATGTGCAAAATTTAGAAAATTTATTCGCGCATGAATATTCTTTTCAAAATAATCGTGTCATAATTTATAATTAAACATATGCTGAAAGATATTTCTGTTGATAAATATCACGCAATTTTATAGGATTGAGATATTATAAATTAATACGTTGTGCGTCAAAAGATTATAGAATATATTTTAATAGAAATCACTTCGTGTAGAATTACGTAGGCGAATATATAATAGTATATATGTATATATATCCGTTTTAGAGTCAAGCTCTTCCCTATGAATATCACAGAAAGGTCATAAGTTACGGGAAATGCCGATGGTATTCTCTATATAATGCGTCGGCAGTGCCATTAATTATTTAAAAAATAATTTTATGTCAATCACACAGGCGACAGAACATCCATAATCACAATGGTCGAACGTCTATAAATAAAAATATGTCGTTTCTCCATGCCGTTTACATTTAAATAAATTTACTTATTATACAAATAAACAGCGAAACTCATTCAAAATCCATTCCTGCTTCATTAAAATCTGTATTGACCTCGACGCGACATTTTCATTTGCCGGAAATGAAAATAAACACAGGTACAAATCTTCCCTTCCCAAGTGAGATGGAAAATAAGTTTCCCCGTCGCGGTGATTTAATTGTATTCCGCTGACTATGAGAAAAATATTGGGTGAACGAAAAGAAGAAAAGCACTCCCTTTATTCTCTCTTTCTCGCGACGATAAAATATTGCGATATGAAATGAGTCTTGCGTCGGTTTCTCTGACGTGAGAATAGCAAAAACGCAGCAATCCACGTAGGAATACGTTTTATCAAGAAGTACGTTATCGCTGTAATATCTGTATTGCGCGGGGGAGGTTCGTAGATTACAGAAGAATTCCATCTCCCGTCGTACACATGACGGTGTACGCGTGGCAACATTGTCATAGCTTAACTCATTCTACTTCGATCCAGAGAGAGAGAGAGAGAGAGAGAGAGAGAGAGAAAGCGAGCGGGAGAAAGAGAGAGACGGGTTTTCCAAAATGCATTTTATACCGGCGCGTTTTCGTCGCAGATTTCCCAAGAAAAACGTTACAATACTCGCAACATACGTCGTTCCGAACGATAATATCACCGAGGAATGATTTAGGAGCGAGATTAAATTTTATATATCTGCCATACGTCATCGGGTCTACATTGTGATATAAGAATGCTTTTATAAGGCTGACGTTGTAAGCCCGAAAATAAATAAGCTCGACCTGCCCGAGTGAATTGCTCGAGTGAAACTCTCGGGCGACGCTACTGGCGAAGGATCGCCCCGGTATAATAATAAAATGTATAATCTTAAAAACTCTCGTCGCGTAATTCTCTTTAAACATCGAAGGGTAAACATCGAAGGGTAAACATCGAAGGGGAAGTCGTCCGGGTATCCGGATATGTCTCACGAATGGAGTCGTCGAAAGAACCGGCGGGCGCAAAAATATACGGCGGACGACGTTCCATGAATTCCTGGGCAAGCAAACGACTTTTCATCTCGTCGCGGGTCAGACACGAGCGGCAATAAATTCCGATAAATTGCGAGCGGGTAACCGCGCAATCGTATCCGACTCGAAATTTGGAATTCTAGCATTGGCAGCGTAAAACGCTAATGCAGGCAAATGCGGAGGAAAATTCGAATGAAAACGTATAAATAAGGGAAACAGTGGTATTTATTTCTCTCGCTGCTTTTGTCATTTTTTTGTTCTGTAAAATGCATGCGATAAAGCAATAAAACTCGAGTGAAACATCATTCTTCCAATATAATTACTGAGTACGATGGCATTACTTTTCTTTTTCTTCCTCTTTGAAAACGAAATTTCGGGATTTTATTTGAAAATTATTATATATCCAACTTTTCTTCGAGCAGCAGCAGCAGCATTATTCTGTATTCACATTTCCATTTTATTGATAGCCTTCTCTTTTATTGAGCTCATCTCCGAGCGGTACGATTCACATTTCCAATTTTTAGGGAAATAAAATAAAAGAGGAAGTATATGTGAATAGCATTCCAGAAATTTTATGCTCCTGATAAATTAATGGAATTATTAATTTTTCGA